CAGCACTAAAAAATGACAAAATCATGGAATTTGCAGGGAAATGGATGGCATTAGAGCAGATTATGCTAAGTGAAGCTAGCCAATCCTTAAAAAACAAATGCCAAATGTCTTCTTTGATTTAAGGAGAGCAACTAAGAACTGAGCAGGGAAGAAGAGCATGAGGAAAAGATTAACATTAAACAGAGGTGAGTGGTGGGAGGGAAAGGGAGAGAGAAGGAAAATTGCATGGAAACGGAAGGAAACCCTCAACATTATACAAAATCACATATAAGAGGTTGTGAGGGGAAAGGGGGGGAAAAAACAAGGGAGAGAACTGAACAGCAACAGATTAGGTAGAGAGGGAAGATGGGAGGAGAGGGGAGGGGGGATAGTAGGGGATAGGAAAGGCAGCAGAATACAACAGTCACTAATATGGCATTATGTAAAAATGTGAATGTGTAACTGATGTGATTCTGGAATTTGTATTTGGGGTAAAAATGGGAGTTCATAACTCACTTGAATCAAATGTATGAAAGATGATATGTCATGAGCTTTGTAATGCTTTGAACAACCAATAAAAAAATTAAAAAAAATTACTGATGAAATATAAGGTTCAGAAAGTATCTATTAGCAAAAGAACAGTGAGTATAATGATCATCAGAGAAGTCTTGATACTGTAATTTTTTTCATATACCTCTCAGAACTCAATAATTCCAAATCTTGGCTAATGACAAATTTTGAAGACAACTACACATGGCTAGGAGAACATTAAAAATAATTTTGATCACAGAGCACTTTGCTTTTGGTCTATTATCTTGAAAGACTCCAAAAGAATTGAAATGAAGTGACATAACAAAACTTTTCCATTTTCATATACTATTTACATAAAATGTTCCTGGAGCTTATATCAATAAAACTGAACGGAGAAATAGAATTAATGTTGAGCCTTTCCAGTTTTATTAATATATCCTGTTCATCAATAAATGGAATAAATAAAAAACCGTAATTTTATTAAGAAACATCTTTTCAAGAAAAATTTACTTTGTGTTTAACAATTATATATCAACAAATATATTTAGAATGTTTTAATTTACTTTACAATTGTTAAAAGAACTTAATCCAGAAAAAATATTTTATAGATTTATGATGGGGGAATGACAAAAATCTAATTTAGATTTTTTATATCATGTTTTATTTCAAGTCTCTATAAAAGATTTTTAAGTGTAAAATGTATATTGAATGGAATAAAATTTGACACAGGGGCTGATGTGGAAATGTGAAAAATAAACTAATAATGCAAAATTTTATTCAGATATGGAAAAGTTTATTCAGGTAACTTTTTATCTAACTTTAATTAGATATGTTTAAAATGTCAAAATTTATAAAACATCATCAATTATATTCTTTCAAGTATTTAAAATTACAAGGAAGTTTTTTTACATGCCGAATTTCAATTATGAGGACATAGCCACTTTAAAAATATTCTTTGAGAAAAACAGGACTGTGTGGCTTTCTACACCATCAGGCTACTTCTGATAATGCATGAAAATAATTTCAGAAAGTATAAATTCAATTAACCTAGTGAGGAATACTCTTGATCATGCTGATAGGGAAAGAGAAKAAGAGAAACTAAAATACTCTACATTTTCCAAAAATAGCATGGGCAACTAAGAAAGCAGCTACATGCTGCTTTGCGAATCTATCAGACCACAAAAGTCAAGCCAAATGAAACTAAAGTAGTCTGTAATTGCATTGTCTGGAAGGCAGTGCAAAGCAAGGAGAAAGAAGTTCCAATGGGTTAGCAGAGGCACCTGCTGGCTGTTAGYACTTACATTCATGCCCCTTCCTGAAGCCAACTTCGAGGTGTCCTCATCGCTGTCAAGGCCTGACTGCCCAAGCTGCTCAGCCTGGAATACAGATAAGCATCCCACCATCAACTCCACGTGGAAGTAAGCTCAAACAAAAAGCAAAGCCCTCCATAGCAATCATGGAGGCCAAAAAGGCCAGTGAGGCCCCAATTCCAAGCTTCAGARTCTGCATTTGTGGTAGTAATCCAAGCCACTTCCTTCACCTTTTAAACTTGAAAACTATTTTAAAACAACTCCTAACCACAGGGCTCCCAGATTTGAAAAATCACAATTTTTAAACCCAAAACTCATAAAAACATGTTTTCTTTCTTTTTCACCAAGCATCTCCTTTAACTTTTAAAATATGCAATTTTCAAACAGTAGTGGGCTTGAACTGATGGAATTATCTAGGCAAAGCAATTAATTAATTACATTTTTAGGATTTCAAAGTTTTAATGTCTGCATAGCTAATAGGAAAGACATGAATAAGTCACCAAATATATCAGTCCTTATCCACAAATAGCAGATGATAATACACCATTGGCCATACAATCACCTGAGGTATAACTGCAAAATTCAATCTCCAGGCYTGAACCTGGACTCCCAAATGAGAATCTTTGGGGACAAAACCCAAGAATACAATTTTCACGATAGGTCTTAAACAGCCTCTGAAGTACTTTTGATAACCATTGGTTTAGGAGAATAAATAATGTCAAAAATGACAAGACTCTGGGCTGGGGATGTGGCTCAAGCGGTAGCACACTCGCCTGGCATGAGCGCAGGGTGCTAGGTTTGATCCTCAGCACCACATTATAAAAAAAAAAAAGGTTGTGCCCACCGAAAATAATAAAAATATTTTAAAAAATGACAAAACTCTCATGCTTTAAACATATTAAAACACAAAATTTCAAAACAAAAAAATAAGTTTGCCCTCATTTGTCCCCAAATTATGTCCCTTCAAGTATWTTCTTTACTGAGATTTTACACACACACACGCACACATATTCATACACATTCCCAACACCCACACAGGTATGTATTTTTTTTCCTTAAAAGTGATAGCAAAGGGTCACTTTATTTTTAAATGTTCTGATAATTCTCCAAGAGTTTGTTCATTATTAAGTCACATGCAGATTATGTGGTATCACAGGCTTTTAGAAATCTGTCTTTTCTATTGTGGTAGTAGGGGTGGAACCCAAGGCCTCAAACAGGCTAGGCAAGTACTCTTCCACTAAGCAATACCCCCAGCCCTTAGAAATAATTTCTAAAGCTATTTACTCCAAAATCTTTTTATTATTGAAGACACTGAAACCTATATTTGTTAAGGACTGTACAACGTAAATAGAAGTTATTAGCAAGGATTATGGAAAGTCAGGCCTGGGTTTAACTTCCAATGTTTATGAATTCTGACAATTATGAGTACTGTTATTAGATTTACATTATAAATAAAGGAATTGCTTAACCTTAGTTTGTTCACCCACATAATGCAACTGATAATACCTTTTTCATCAAGTTCCTAGACAGATGAAGTTATATTTAGCACCAAATCTCAAACAATAAAAATGGAGAAAAACAAGGAGTTAAGAAGTTTAGCACAAAACTTTTTTTGTTTTAAGTTAACCATAAAAAAACCACACAGAACAAATAATCCAATAATGACAAGACTGAAAAAGGGATGCCTAGGTAAAATAAAATTAAGAGAAAGTTATAAATGAAAGATGAAGTATAAAGGAAACAAAAATAATTTTACTAAGTCCAAGACATAGGAAAGATAGGTATGACATAAAGAAAATCCCCTTATAATGAGCAGACTAGACTTGCTGGGGTCTACCAGGAGCCCCTTATGAACTCCCAGAAGCCATGTTAGTTGATCTCCAAGTCTCCAGCTCTTTAAACTCTTATTTTGCCAAAACAAAATATTCCTATATCTTTGACTTGCTTTGCTCCTAGTTCATCTCTCAGAAAGAAGAAAATGCAGAATGAGTGTTTGGCATCTCAGTATGAGGAATGAGGATAGGGAGGGGTTTATTGTGAAGTGGTAATGTGAAGACCAAGGACGACACTGAATAAAGTATAAGCAAATCTCTCACAACAGTTTTAGAAACACCAATAAAATTCATGAAGTGATGGAAAATGTAAACACAAAATTCTGATTCTGCAATTTCAAGTAATTCTGAAAGGAAAGGAAAAGAGGTCAGGAGGGCAGAGAGAGGAGAGGGGAGCATTGAAAAGAGGGGAGGAGGGAAGGAGAGAGGGAGGAGTAGGGAGGGAAAAAGAGAAGGAAAGGAGAGAAATGCTCAAGGCGCAGAGATCTTACATAGAAAGATACACATTGAATACAAATTTTCAAAGGACACACAGGAAAAAGGGAAGAAGCACATATTATGGGTGGTAAACATAAGAGAATAACAAAACTACTACCAAAGCATCAGGTAGATGAAGAACTAAAAGCTGAGGTTGTAAGAAGCTCTAAAGACAGGAGGTCTCAGCCGGCTCAGCCTGGGTTTCACCACACCTTCCCCTTCAAACTACTCCTAACTTCCAATCTCCCATTTCCTAACCACCACCACCAGCGGGGAGGGATTGACTGGCTTCTGGTCAAAGACCTGCCCCTAACCCTGGGACCCTGAGCAAGCTATACTACTTCTTTGAACTTGAGCATACTCATCAGCAAGCCTGGGGTGAATCATAGTTCCAACCCCTCAGGTTCCTGATGGTCAGGAAGTGAGATGCGCAGCCTCAGCCACAGATGCAAAGGAGTACAGATCTCTTCAATGGCCAGAAGGCACCTGAATGAATGTGAGCTTTTTTTGTCACCTCTTCCAAGTACACTGATGGAGGACACTTTCCAGCTAAGCTGATGGTATCAAGGCCTACCATTCATTGCAACAACTTTAGTTGGGGGGGTGGGGGTGTCTAATTGGATATTAGTAAAATATGCCTATAAACAAATATAATAGGGATAATAAATATGTTCTTTTCTGAAAGTTAGTTAGATGGTTTTGAGATTCTTATAACTGATTAGAAAGAAAATCTTCATTTTTACTCTTTGAACTATGATTTAATGCTATAACATTTGATCTGAAATATGACTTTCAAGACTTATTTAAGAAATAATAACAAGATCCATAAATTAACTTCTCATGTGGTATAGTCCCAAATTATATAATGAAGACCAAATACCACCTAAAAATCTAATCAAAAGCAAACAGTCTAGTTTGACAAGGGACTCGGTTACAAAGTGGCCTTAACTCTAGCTCTTAGATACCCCACGTGCTAAGTTTCAATGCTATAATTTATTTGAAGGAATATTTACCATTGTGTTTCAACTGAACTAAAATGTGCATTCATTCATTCACCCATCCTAAGGTATGTACTGTGCTTCAACTGCACACCAGGTCAGAGTATGTACCTGGCAGGAGAAGGGCTCACAGCCTGGCCTCAGGCCCACAGGTTTCTTGTTCCACTGGTGAGTGAAACATCTTCCTTCTAGATACCTAACTGCTTTAGAGATCAAGTGTAGAAGCACAAAGCCACTCATTCCACACATTCCTTTTACTTGAAGGAATTAATATTCCTAAATACAATTATTTTTAAAAATCATAAGATAGGTTCAGTATGAGTGAGGTAGAAATTCAGGAATATAGAAAAAGAAAGGCATATTGAGTCTCAAGAAAGAAGTACCCATGAGCCCTTACAAAAACCCATGAACTGTCAAAATGTAAAATAAGAAAGTAGGTAAGCAACCCAACTCAAATCCTTAGTCCATGACCTAGGCTCCTGTCCTTGCCTGCAAAATGTAACATGCCAGGAGGGCAATACATAAACACAGGAAACACTGGCACAAAATTATGTAGATTCCACTTCTAGTTCAGCCCCTATCCATTGTTCCTCTATAATTATTAACACCCTACAACAAGGGTGTGCTGCTTCTCACTTTGGAGATTGTCCCCATTATCTCTTGAATATGCATTCCTTGCTTTTTAGTATCAAGACAGCCCATATTCCCCTCTTAATGTTTATCTCCTTTCCTAAATAAATGTGTCTGTGTCTTGGACTGGCACATTCGGAAATTCTTTTCTGTCACATATGCCAAGGACCCCATTTGTCCTGAGTTGAGGTCCCATCTCTGGAAAGAACTCTTGTGACATAAGCATCTTCAGACACTGTTTTACATTATGCAAAGTCATGTGCATATGCAATCCATTACCTTGCTACTGCTTCTTTTATTAACTTTGAAAAATCCCAGAAATTTTTTCTTCTCATCTGTCTCATCATTGCCAAGTGATGATTTTCTAAATGTTTCTGGGGGGGAAAAAAGACATACTAAGTTATTTTTCAACATTTGAAATAAGAGATTAAATACTTTTAAAAATCTTAAGTAAACCCTTTATTCTTAAGCTGTTAGTTCTTCTACAGGGGTAAATCACCAACTCTTTCTTGGAGCCACATCAAAGCTCTAAGACCAATTTAGGAAAGCATTTAAAGGTCTTACATTTTTTTTGAGGTAGAATTGTCTCTGGTATGCTTAGACCCTTGTGGATACTAAAAAATAAATAAGTAAGTAAATCAACAAAACTTCTAGGGAAGTGCTATCAATAGAAAGYTAATATGAACCATAAATGTAATTTTATGTTTGCTAGTAGCAGCATTAAAAACGATGAAATTAATTTTCACTATACATTCATTTGATTCAATATATATAAAATATTATTTTTCACATAATGAATATCAGAGCTATTGATATTTTACATTTCTTTTGATGTAATCCAATGTTTGCCTCAGGATGATAGTACATCTCTGCTTGAACTGAACACCTTGAAGTGTCCAAGAGCCACATGTGGCCTGTGGCTGCCCAATTAACCAGCACGGCTCCAAAGACTATGCCTTTAGTGTAAAACATCTGCTTTAAGAACCATCAGTGAGGTAAAAATGCTAACCAAAAATAAATCCAGAGTCTTCCTTTTCATTTCTAGAACATGGAATACCAGTGATAGTTTACCCAGGTGGTGTTTGAAACAATCACATCAGATCTCCAGGACACTCATTTCCAGATTTTCTTTCCACTGTTGTAGTCATAATATTTTCCTTTTAAGCTACATTCCCTAGTAAACCAATTGTTTTCTTCATCTTCTTTTACTTAATTTATTTAGTGATTAATTGATTGTTGAGCTCTAAGCCCTTGATCTCTCTTTCTTGGTGTTTTCTTCCTCAGGATTTTTAGAGCTAGGATGGGCTCCTTTTTAGCTATAGAAGAGGACAATAAAGCCTAGACTTGGCAGGCAGCAGATCAGCAATCAAGGGTGGTTCTCATGAGGTAGGACAAGAGGCATCAGCATCACAGAAACCTGTGAGAGATAAAATCCTCAGGCCAGTTCCAGACATCCAGAATCAGAAACTCTGGGAGAGTTTCCAACACTGTTTAAAAAACAACAAAGTGAGATCTGAGGGACACCTGAAAAGTCAGTGTAAAGGTACAGAGACATACATGTGAGGCACAACTGGACAAACGGTTTAGTCTCTCCAAGCCTCAGTTTATTCATCTGCAGGTTGGGGGTGACTATGCTCATCATGAGGAACTGTGTTAGTCACTAGCATACACAGCTCTATCTCGACTACTGATTATTATCACTCACTGATTTGCTTGCAAAGGCTATTCTATGGCTGTGCCATTTATTCATCCATACTTCTCTTCCAGGGCATACAGACATGACAATATGAGGGAAAACTAAGGTGTTCCTGAAGGACAAAAAGATGAATTTTCCCATATCACTGCCAACTGCTAGACAGCAAGACCTCTAATCCACTAGTGGAAAAATCATGGACTGGGATATTACATACCTACTATCAGTACATCAGCCAACCCAAACATGGTAAACATTCATTAACTTCTTTATCTGCTAATGTATAATTGCATATTTGAGGTAGAGAAGAGACATAAAAGTAGGTGCATTAATAAAATATGCATGACCATTAAGGCCATCTACCCAACAAAGCAGAAACCAAGTGTACATGTTCTTTAAACCAATCTGTAGAGAACAATGGCTCCTGTATAGCTCACCAGGGTCAGGGATCTGGATTACATGCAAGGCTCTAACCAAGGAGATTAGTGGGCAGCACATCATGCAACATCCAAACCAGAGGACCCATATCACAAGATGCAACTACACAGACAAATGCATGTGCACACACACACTTGAAGGTCACACAAAAACCTTTTACTAAGGTTACAGTAGAAGATAAATTAGCCATTAAGATAAATATACCATAGAATAATACCATATCTAAACTATAGCATAAATTAATACGTATATTTCTAGTCTATATGGTTTCTACAATTGAATGGTGTGTGACATGGATATATTAAAATGGATGATAATGTAGTACCCAAAAATTAAATGAGAACGTGTTACTAGCACACAGGCCATATTACACCAACCACAAAAATAATAAGACTAGGAGCTGGGGTTGTGGTTCAGTGGCAGAGTGCTTGCCTAGCAAGTGTTAGGCACTATRTTCAATCTTCAGCACCACATAAAAACAAATAAATAAATGTATTATGTCCATCTACAACTAAAAACAAAATTTTTTAAAAATAGACCATTCCAGAAAACTGCAATGAAATTGAACCTCTTGTTTCTATCCCTGAACAGGAATAATGGCTGGTCACAAGACTGTGGTAGCTTGGCTCCAGAACTGAGAGTGGGGAGGCACATATCAAGCTGTTAGAGCCTATGGCTACGTGAATGTGGTGGCAGGGGCTCAAAACTCACAGTCCTGAGCTGGGGTCTAGAGCACACAGTCTATTTTTAGAGCACAGGCTCCTGAGAAACTCCTGAGGCTCAGGAGTCATGGAAGAAGGGTGGGTTTAGAGCAAAGCAAGAGAACTCAGGACTTACATCAGGCAGAATATCTATAGGAAGCTATGCTGTCAGAACAGCATAAACAACAAATACATAGTTCAGCCTGGAGAACATACACATTTAAGACCTAGAATCCACAGTTTCCAAGGATGATCATTTGAGCATAAAATTTATTTTGTTTGAATGTAGTCTATTTTATAAGAAATTAAACATCAATGAAAGTATTTTGCAGGGATCATATTTAATTTATAAGAAAGGACTTCCTGTTTGGAAGCACTAAAATTATTTCAGGAAATGATAAAGAGGAACTGAGGGGTACAAGGGGTATAGAAAACTGAAGGAAGTCTGAAAGACCAACTAGTCCAAATCATTCATTTGTCAAGAAGAGAACATAAAATCAGGGCAGTTCAGTGGCCAGAAAACAAGACTACTGAGCAGCACATGGAAAAGGAAGACCCATGGGCATTCTAAGTTTCAGCCACATCATTAGGCTACCTGCACTCAGGGTAATAAAAAAAAGCCCTTCAGTTCACCTTGTCCCAATCCTTAGTCAGTCCAAACCCCCAAGTAGAATCATTCAATAACAACTCCTGCCTTCATATATGTGAGTGTCCTGCTCACAACAACTGCTTTTTCATGGTGTTTCTTAACAAAGAATGCTTATCTTTTAAACCTCCTTCTGTATTATTGATGAAGTACATCAATTACAGATCAGAACATCAAGGATGTCTCCAGACCAATGCTGAGTTTCTTTCAAAAAGTTTTATTTCTGGAAATAAAATCTACTGTTAATTACTGTAACAAACATGGAAAAAATTCTGTAGAATGCAAAGATCCTGGGATTCTAACAAACTTTTTGCATGAATATATAAATATATGTATAACTATATATATATATATATGTGTGTGTGTGTGTGTGTTCAAGAAAATACCATATATATGCATATGTATATGTTTAGTATGTATGTGTGTATGTATGTGTGTATCTGTGTGTATATGTATGTGTAAAAAGAGGTGGAGAAAGAAAAAAGATTTCTAAGAAATAGGTGTCAAAATACATGCTAAATCTGGACTAATCATTTGCATAGTTGCTATAATAGCAAAAGTTAATACTGAAAATTCTGCTGCATGCAGGATGGTCCTGGAGGACAGGTAAGCTCATAGATAATACAGGCAAGCAGAAATAAAAATACATCAGTGCTCTTTTAGCACCTATCACTTCTGCTCTGACCTGAAGTTGTGGGCAATAGAATGTGCTACAACACCCTCCCTCATTATTTACCAATTAGAGGCTCACAGCAAATTCTCACACAAGGGACATTCTTCTCTGAACTAACCAGGGAACAAAGAAATCAAACCATAACCTTGTGTCAACCAGGCAAGACTCACATCCCCAGAGGTGTTGCAAGCCATACTCATTTCCTTCAAGTCTCACACAAAAACATCACCTCCATGCATCTTCCTAGCTCAGAGCCATGCAAAGTACAGCCCTGCAGGCTCACTGTACCTCTGAAACTCAGGGAAGGCTCGGACTGAGTTTTGGTCAGAAGAACTAGAAAAGGCAGGAAAGAGAAAGTGAGGACCAGCTTGTAGACCTGAGCTACACCCTACGGAGCCCTGGCCTCTCCTAAAGCCTTGGATGGACTTACAGATGTGCATGTGGCAGTGTCAAGGCCTGATGTGAGGCTGGTGCCTGCCTCTCCAGGTCTGTCCTCCCAAGGACCTGCAGCTGTGCAGGCTGCTTGGCCTACTTGTGGACATAGGTGGCAGCAAAGCCTCAGGCTTTTTCAAGATACCACTCACTGCCTGGGATTCCAGAGGAGGGCAGGCTTTTGCCAGCAGAGTCGCTCTTCCTTCCCACACCAGCTGTCCTCTGGGATCTCCAGCATCTGCAGGGCTAGGGAGGAGCAGGTGGCCATCCTGAGTGTAAATTAAGAGACACAAAGGAGAGGCTGTTCCATCAGGCCCTGGAAGTCCTTCCAGTTCAGCTACAAAATAGAAAGGGAACCTCAGGGACCCCTCTGGAAGACTTTCTTTTCTTTTAAGATGTGAAGGTGTGTGGTTAATAGGAAGATGTGAAGGCGTGTGGCAGGGATGATTATCAAGCACTGACAACTAGCCTAATCTAGGTTAAAGGAAATCAACCTGGTCATGGGGTTGGAACATGTCTTTCCCATGAGTTGGGGAAATGAGAGTAGGATTTAGGGTTTAAGAGCAGCTAGTTCCCTCAAAGACAGAAGTGCTTCAAAATCCAAATTGGTTGCACCATGTGTCCTGATGCATGGCCCTGCCTGTGAATCACAAAACACAAAATCACAAGGTGTCAGCCTGCTGACACATTGGAGGGCTTTGACTCTCATGTGGAGATATTCACGGGCCTGCAGGGTCCTCTGCTTAACAGAAAGGCAGATTTTGTATGACTTCTTTAGTAACCATATTCTATGCCTTTCAAGATGTATCCAACTGTGGGAATATAATGGAAACACTCATTTTTGAAACCCTTTTGCTTTTAGCTTCCTAAATGTAGCTTTTTCCATTTCTTTTTCTTTTTTTTTCTTTCTTGTCTTACCAAATGAAAGCCCTGTTTTCAGTCACATAAACCAAAATAAAATAAAGCAGATATATTCAGACAATATACACACAGTAACCCAGTCTGTGTGGCTGATGCTGAAGTATTACTGTCTGTTTAAAAAAGATACTGGACAGCTTAGCATGTGCGAGGCTCTGGCTTCAATCCCAACACCACCAAAAAAAAAAAAAAAAAAATACTGGACAAAACACAACACAATTATTCTCAAATGTCATAGAAAGTATTTTTTTAAGGGAATAAATAGCCCATGTATTTTATACCCCATGTGACCAAAACCCTCTCTTAACTGTCAAATAAGACCCAAGGACTCAGAAACTAGGCTGATTTGGGAGGAGGTATAGACTGGAGAGGAATCTCACTTATGACCATTGATTTCACAATACCTTTGGCAATAAGAAATAGTACAGGGTGGATTTGTGGATTTGCTTTTTCTTTTTTTTCTGGGGTGAAGTGGGGTGTAGGGTGGGTGGGTTGGTCCTGGGGATTGAACCTAAGGTTCAATCTTTACTGCTGAGCTACTTTTCTAACCCTTATTATTTAGTTTTTGAGACAGGGCCCTACTGAGTTGCTGAGGATCTCACTAAGTTGTCAAGGCTAGCCTTGAACTTAGGGTCCTCTTGCCTCAGCTTCTCAAATTGCTGGGATTACAGACATGAACCACTGTGCCCAGCTGAAACAAACAAACAAACAAACAAACAAAAAAAAAAAACAGAAACCATTTTTACTGAAAGAAATAAGGGAAAAAAATAGGTATAGAAAAAAAAGAACAAATCATGAAAAGCTTTATTATACATTTATTTTAAAAATCTAGCCTACTTAATATTTTTGGAACAAATAAAATGGCCATCAGTTATCAAATGACGCTCATTAAAACAGAAAAACAGAAACTTTAATGAAGTTCATTTTAAAAATTGTAGGGTTGAGAATTATAAATTATCTTTTTGCCTGAGAGTGGTGTAGCTACATAGTCAACTCTTTTTATCAATCAGAAAAATCTGCTTACATAATATATTTATGTCTGTACCAACAGCAACCTAGGGACTGCCAATCACCAATGGCTCTAATTGTGACTCATGCTAAGGTACCAAAATGACATCACAGTAAGATATATGGCAATGAGGGTAAGGAATCTAAGAGGGTACCTAAAGCTGTCTTCAGGAATTGATCTCATGGACTGTAATTTGGTCAGTTTAAGAGAATAGCTAAATGCATTTTGACACTGGTCTTGATATAAGCACTATTTGAAACCTGGGAGCAGCAATGAAAACTGAAAAGAAAAATCAACACTATGTTTATGTGGTTTTTGCAGGGTTAGAGCAGAAGGTCTAATCTCTCCTCACCTATTTATGCTTTTACTTATGCTGACATTCACAAAGAGACAGAACGTAAAAGTTGTAACTGGAAGGAAAGAGGCATAATCACAGTGGAGGGGAATAAAAACAGCCAGATTTCTTTTGCAGGCCAAAGTTCTCTTTTGCCCACATCAGCCCTGGACAAAATTTTGAGTTGGCTATCACTTCACATATCCATCTCCATCTAGTACTATAGAGAGTCACAAGGAGAGGGAGCAGGCTACAAGCAGGGTGTGTAGAGCACAGCAGGGTCTCACCTCTTCTATTGTCCCAGGCATAAAGTTCCTTTATCCCCAACTCATTCAAGGACTTGGATAGCTCCAGTTCCTCTCCGGCAACATTGTCCCTCAGCAGAATCACGTGATCTGGGCTGACCTCACACTTTGCACAAATGACTGGCAGAATATTCTGGAGTGGCACATCTGGGCTCACCCGCACAACAGCTTTTTGTGTTCGAAGGTAATTCACTACCAAACGCACAGATTTCTGGAAGAATAAATCAGAGACAAAGAATTCTATGAGCAACCTCTTCCCACAATAGCTCCAACTTCTGTTTTAAATTTAGAATTAACAGGATTTTGTGCAGCTCTAATCCTTCTTCCATAAATTCAGTGAGTCACAAGGGAAATGGAATAATGAATAGTGAAAAATAAATGTCCAGAATAATGGATTTATCTTATAGAGTTTCTCTTACTAATTAACAAGCTGCTAGACAACATAGGGAAATGGATGTCAGTGAGGGCTCTAAATTTAAAAACCAATACATATACTGCCTTTCAAAGACTCTGACCAGATTTGAACATAAATATATATCTTTCTAAAGGAAAATAGTTTGGAAGTAGAATGAATAATTTCATTAAAAGAAAAAAATCCCACTAAACAAAACATAAAATTTTCAAGAAGCCAAAGTGTTCATATAAATATATGAATATTTATGTACATATGTATTTATATAAATAATAAGGCACCATATGCATACATGTGTAAGAGTATGTAAATAGATGTGTATTTATATATGTATGTGTTCACACACACACACACACACACACACACGCGGAGTATACACATATTTTCAGCCAGAAACAGAGTCTAACTTTTTCAAATACCATACATACAATCAAGAAGAAAACAATAAATTTGACTAAGGCCAATTCTAAATGACTGCAGATAAAGTAGCCCACCAAAAAAACTATAGTATTTAAAGTTTCACTCAGTTTACTGTAATTCAGCCTTCCTGATCACAGCATAGTACAAGGGCACTAAGAAAGTGATCAGAGTAAACATGAGTTGCACAGAGTGACTGAGAAAAGATTTAGGCTCCTTTCTGGTCTGAGTGGCAGGGCTTAGTGGCCATAATAGTGACAGAATGTAGGAAGAAAGAAGAAAAGGAGGAAAGATGAAATTCTCATCAGCTTTCTCAAAGAAGACTCATGCTCATACCCTGGGCCTAACTATCCCTAAGGACTAAGAACGTGAGGGAAGCCACAGGGTTCTTTTGGGTTGAACATTGATTTTTATTTGAAGAATAAGGGAAAATTTTCTTTGGATATAGAAGGACAACAATTAGAATTCATTTTTTATTTGTCTTTTAGTATATTAAGATAATACATAATAGTGGGGCCTATTTTGACATATTCATTTAAGCATAAATCAGTTTTCTCTATTTCAATCCCCAATATTATCCTCTTTCCTCCTCTCCTCCCTCCCACTGTTCCCCTTTAACAATAAGAATTTATTAATAATTGAAATCTAGAAAGTCAAAGGAGACAAACTGTTGGCCACATTTTAAAAGCAAGGAAATTCAGATCTTCCAAGAATCTGAAAGAATGAAGTGGAACTACTTTTAGCTGGACTGAAAGATCCATGGCAAAACCTTATTAGTACAATGAGAAACAAATTAATTTTAATCAACAATCAAAAGGCTGCATAAAGCTGTGTATATAAGATATTCTTCAAATGCAATGAGTAAATATTTCTGACAACAATTTTTTCAAAAAGACTCTCTCCCTCACCCCCAGGAGATGGTAGAGTCTTTTTTTCCCCTTTTTTTCCATACTAGTAATTGAAATCAGTGGCTCTCTAACCATTAATCTACATCCCAAGCAACCCTCACACCACTTTTTTTTTTTTTTTTTGAAACAGGGTCTCACAAGTTGATAAGGCTGGTCTCAAATTTATGATCCTCCTGCCTCTGCCTTCCAAGTGCTGGGATCATAGGTGTGTGCCACCATGACCAGCTGAGATGGTAAATCTTTTACAGATCTGAACTACTTCCTAGAGATGAAAGAACTCCAGAACTGCACAGTCCAAAATTGCACAGTCCAATTAATAGCCAATAGCTAACTAATTAAAATTCAATAACATTTAAAAAAAACAGTTTTTCATTCACACTAGCCATATTGCAAGTGCTCAAAATGTACATGTGCCCAGTGGCTCTTATATTGGGAAGTGTAGAATGTGGGGCCATTTCCAGCTTCAGAGACAGTTCTATTGGATAGCTGTGTTCTTCATTAATTCCTTTTCTATATATAATACATACAGGAGCAATTTTACAACAATGAACATTATTAAATTCTGGAAATTCTATCGCCTATAATAAACCCAGTGATTTGGCACCCTTTGCCCAGCATGGCAGCAGAAACCTCAGCCACAGCTTTCTGCATGTGGTATTTAGAAGAGCAAAGCAGGCTCTCCTCAGCATCTCCCACACACTCACTCATAGGCATGTGTCCATGTACATCCTCTCATCACACATAGGCATCTACTGACCTCAGGCACCTTAGGTGGGCCAGGCTTCACCTTTTCTTCAGGAACTTTTTCTTTCAGAAACACAGTGTGCACATTCAAGGTTCCAACCAAAGTATTTGGCTTAAAACTCAAAGGCTGTTGGGTTTCTGAAGACCGGATCTCAAGGGCATGGTGGGAAGGATTCAGGTGATTCTGAAGGCAAAGTTCAACCAATAGGTCCATCATTGCATGGCTGAAAACGGGAAAACAAATCATGATTATTAGGAATGTCTGCACTCTCCCTCTGCCTAGTTGAGTAAGGGCAGAAATGGGTGAGTGAGGAAATTAGACGTGCTTATAAACACAACACAGGCTCATTAATTTCTTATGCATGATTGTATAGCAATGTTACCCTTCTCAATGCTAATGAACAACATTGCTGAAAGAACAGAATCATAACAGATGATCAAAATCATAATAGCTGAGAAAAAAAGTTGTAAATCCATGAGTATGTTGAGTTGAATAATCTAAAGCCTGATAACACAAATCATACTACTTATAGGTACATGACACTAAATCAGTGATTTGTAAGTATAATGTATGAAGAAAAACTAGGCTTTAAGTTACAGAATTTGTTAAGCATTTATGAATAATAATGCACCAATGAATTGGGGAACTAGAAGAAATGCTGAACTCCTAGACACATGTAACCTACTAAAACTCAATCAAGGAAAAAAAAAAAAAATCCTGAACAAATAACAAAGAAATTGACTCAGTAACCTTGCCAAAAAGAAAAGTCCTAAATCAAACATATTCAAAAGATTCTCCCAAATATTCAAAGAATAATGCCAAAGCTTCTTAACTCTTTCAAAAATTGAAAAAGAAATATTTTCAAACTTGTTTAATGTGGCCACCATCACCTTAATAACAAAGAGAGACTCCACAAAAAAACTTATAGGCAAATTTCCGTGAGGAACATGGATGCAAAATCCTCAATAAAATAATAACAAACAAAATTTAACACCACATTAAAAAGATTATATACCATGTTTCATCCAATTATTGGATGAAAGGATGCAGGAATGGTTCAACTCAGCCAATCAATCAATGTGATACATCACATTAACAAAACAAGCCTTATAAAAAGGCATAATCATCTTGATATAGGCAAACCATGTGACAAAATTCAACATCCATTCATAACTTAAAAACTGTCAACAAAATAGAAGGAACTAACTTCAACACTATCAAAACTATATGTGAAAAGCCCACAACTAACATCATATTCAAAGGGGAAAAAAACTTTTCCACTTAGATATTTATAAGGCAAGGATGCTCCCTTGTTACTTCTGTTCAACATAATACTGGAAGTCCTAGCCACAGGCACTGCACTGCCCAAGAAAATAAATAAGAATTCATGCAAATCAGAAGGAAAGAAGAAAATTTTTCTGTGTATAGATGATGTGATCATAAATGTAGAAAATCCTGAAAATTCAATAACAGCAAAACATGGTTAAAATAATAAACTACTCCAGGAAAGTTGCTTGATACAAAACCGCATAAAAAATTAGTAGCTATATGTGTTGGGGTTTTTTTTTGGGGGGGGGGCAGTTACTGGGGATTAAACCCAGAGGCACTCTACCACTAAACCACATCCCCAGCATCTTGTTTGTTTTGTTTGTTTTGAGATAGGGACTCACTAGGTTCCTGAGGTTGGCCTCAAACTTGCAATACTTCTGCCTTAGCCTCCCATGTTGCTGAGATTCCAGGCATGTGCCACCACAACCAGATAAAACTAGTGGCATTTCTGTATACTAACAATAAGCTATCCAAAAAGGAAATTAAGAAAGCAATACTACATATAATAGCAGCAAAAAGAATAAAGTAGTTAGGAATAAACATAATCAAACATTTGAAATATTTATGCACTGAATTACTGGATGAAAGAAATCAAAGGAGATGCAGATAAATGGAAAGATACTCCCTTTTCATGGATTAGAAGAACTAAAACTGTTAGTGTCCATGCTACACAAATAAATCTGCAAATTCAATACAATCCCCACCCAAACCCCAATGAACAAATAGACAAATAGAAAAGTATATCTTTAAATTCATATGGAATAACAAAAAATAGATAAATATATCTTTAAATTAATATGGAACAACAAAAAATAGAAAAATATATCTTTAAATTTATATGGAACAACAACAAAAAAGACAAATAGAAAAAAAAATCGTTAAATTCATATGGAACAACAAAAGACCTTAAAGAGTTAAAGTAATCTTGAGAAAACAAAGCTGGAGGAATCACATATGCCGATTTCAAAATATCTTACAAAGCTTAATGTACTTGCATAAAATTAGACATGTAGATCAATGGAACAAAATCAGCCCAGAAACAAATCCATGCATTTATACTTAGGCAATCTTTGACAAGTATACAGAGTGCACAGTGAAGAAAGGACAGACTCTTCAATAAATGGTGTTTGGAAAACTAAACATCCTCATGTGGAAAAATGAAATTGGACAATTCTGTTATACCATACACAAAAATAAACTCAAAAGGATTAAAGATTTAAACTAAGACTTGAATCCATAAAACTGCAAAAGTAAAACATAGGGGAAATCTTGCTGATGTTGGCCTGAGTAGTGCTCTTTTTGGATATGACACCAAAAGCACAGACAACCAAAGCTAACAAAGGCAAGTGGAATTGCATCAAACTAAAAGCTTCTGTGCATCAACAGAGTGAAAGGAAAACTACTATGGATTGGGAAAAAAATCTTTTCCAACCATATATTTAATGTGGTGTTAATATCCAAAATAGACAAGTAACTCAAGACAACTCAATGGCAAATAACCCAACTAAAAGGAGGACAAAGGACTCAAATAAACATTTCTCAATATAAGTCATACATATAACCAATGGGTATATGTAAAAAACATGTTCAACATCACTATCAGAAAAGTACAACTCTACCACAATATCACCTCACACCTGACTGAATGTTTATTATAAATTTTAAAAAAAGATAAATGCTGGTGAAGTTGAAAAGGAACTCTTATACACAGCTAGTGGAAATGTAAACTGGTATGGCCATCATGGAGTGGAGTATTACTAAGCTGTAAAAAATTTTAAAAAATCCTTGCCATATATAAAAACATGAATGAACCTGGAAGACATATGCTAAGTGAAATAAGCCAGACACAGAAATACTGAATGATCTTACTTATATGTGGAAGCTAAAAATGTTAAATCAATAGAAGCAGAGATTAGAAGAGTGGTTATCAAGGGCTAGGTGAAGAGGAAATGAGGAAATAAATGCCTATCAAAAGCACTAAGTTCCTATTATGTGGTAGGAGTAAAAATCTGGAGACCTAATGCACATCATGGTGACTACAGAAACTGTGCTGTATGTTTGATATTTTCTGAGAGGGTAGAAATTTATGGTTCTCAACGCGTGTGTGCGCACACATACACATACAAATATAAGTACATGAGTTGACAAATATATAAACTACTTTGTGGTGATCATTTCACAAATATACATGTATATCAACATCATGTTTTATACTTAATACAAAGTTTATATTTGTCAATTTTGGCCCAGTGAAACTGAAATAATTAACCAACTAACTCTTCCCAACAGACACTTCATACAATGGATACTTATTTTTTGGTTAAAGAAATGTAGACAAATGGCATAAAAGTATATGTTTAACTCAGTAAATATTATAGATAACCTACTGGGTGCAGTGTGTTACAAAGAAATTTAGAAAGCTTTAAAATAAAACAAACTTCTTTGTATACTCTGGATATTAGGGCTCTATCTGAAGTGTGAGGAGTAAAAATTTGTTCCCAGGATGTAGGCTCCCTATTTACTTCTCTTATTGTTTCTCTTGCTGAGAAAAAACTTTTTAGTTTAAGTAAGTCCCATTT